AAGTGGCGGGATGAGGAGCCCTTCCCTTTGGGAACAGTGTGTGTAGTGGTTCTGAGATCAGCGCAGACCAGAGACCCCAGCTTCACCACTGACTGTGAGGCTTTGGGCAGGGTATTAGACCTCTCTGTGCCTCAGTTTCCTCACCTGTAAAATAGGCTTAATGATCATGCAAATTGCTTGGGACTGTTTTGAGAATGAAAGGAATTAATAATGTATAAGATGCCTGGCCTGTTAAAATTGCTCCATAAGTTTTACCTATTATTTCTACTATTATAGTGATCATCTTGCCAGGTAGCTTGCTTCTAAAGTTCCCAGACACACAGACACACAATAACAGTAACCATTAATAGCATGACAACTCAGCTGTAGAAAGGACCCCAACTCAATGCAGAGATTAGAGAGAGGGCCTGTCTTGGAGAGTGTGCTCCTCACCGGGTCCCTGTGTGAGTCCCCACCCCACCCCCACTATTACTAAGGGCCTGCAGCCATATCAGATCTAAGACCTTGACCCCCACACAGCACTATCTAGAGAATGTCCCAGGAGATCCTGGCGCCAACACTCAGACTCTTGGGAGCCAGAGAGAATCCGGTGGGCTTTAAGAGTAGCTGCTGGGTATCTCCAGTTATCTCTACTTTTGTTGGTTCTAGCGGGGCCAAATCCAAATTCTCTCCTGTCTTTCCCACCCCCCTGCCCCACCCCCCACTCTTGGTCTCCAGCCTCAGGCATGGAGCCTGGCAGCCAGGACTGAGGAATCCTGTCTGCCTGTCCATGCAGCAGGCCGGGCAGCCCTGGGAGCTGGAGCGTCCTGGGATGTGGGGAGCACATGGGAAACTGGCCCTTTTGAGAGATGGGGAGTCTTTTAAATGCACTGGTTGACTCTCTGCCTGGTAGGGCAGCAGACAGGGGACTCTGCACCCTTTCCCAGGACGTTCCCAGGAGTTTCATGTCACATTCAAAGCCCAGATTGTCACGTAGAGGGCGATGGCTGTACAGGTAGGAAATGGGGATGAATGTATTCTGATCCCAGGACCTCCCTGACAAGCTGGGTCTCTTTTGAATAAATTATTTAATTTTCTTGAACTTTTTTTCTAAAGTCATGTGCAAGGGGGAAAGTAATCACCATTCCTTTAATGCTTCAGATAGTAAGATTCCGATCAATTGGGATTTTAACCCTTCTTCTCTTTCCCCTTTGGCCGAAAGAGAAACTCTCTCGTGGCCTAGTTAAGTGGACGTGAGGCCTCCTTGCTTGCGAGTGACATAGTAGGAGGCCCACAGTGATCCCTGCCTCTAGGAGGTGACAGTGTGAACCTGAGATGGGATGTGAAATTCTTATCACTGTGTGTAAAGGGTCATGAGAAAGATTGGTTGAGAAAGTGTGGATGGCTCCTCACACCCTCCCCGTGGCTGTAGAAACAGCTTGGCGCACACGCCCGGTAACTGGAGGAAGATCCTGTGTCATCTCTGTCAGTCTCTTACTGACTTGAGCACTTACTATGTGCTGGCCACACTTACTCCTCACAACAATCCTGTAAGGCTGGCACTGTTATCACTCCCATTGTACACATGGGAAAACTGAGGCCAGAGAGGTTAAGGGACACAGCCAGTCAGTGGCAGAGCTAGGATGTGGACCCTACTGCCAGGTCTTTCTGATCTGCCCTCAAACACAGCCATGCACACAACCATTGGTGGATTGGGGACTGGAGGAGTCCAGAAGGTGGGCGCTGGCCCACTGGGGGCAGCAGGTGGCCCCATCGACTCTGCTTGTTCCAGATTAGAAATTCAAACACTTGAGAGAAAAGCCGGCTTGTTTCCCTCCTTCTCTCTGAGATAAGCTTTAGCTGGGGCCTTGGCCTAGCTCCCAGAGCCCCAAAAGGAGGAACGACTTGTGGGGGTGAGGGCTTAAGACCTGGAGAGGCTGGATCAGGAGAGAGATGGCTGCTGGGAGCTGAGAGCCCCACGAATGCTGTAGAAGACCCCAAGAAACCACCCCCTGAAGTCCCTCCCAATCCTGCCCCATTAGCACCCCCCATCTGTAGGATTTGAGTTAAGCGGCCAACCGCAGGGCCTGGCTTTCCCTACTAGGAGATGCAGGGCAGATTAAACCCAGTGGCCAACATGCCTTTGATCTCCAGCTCACCATCCCCCCTCACTTGTCTCCTCTAGATGGGATCTATTATGGAGACAATCGGTTTGACACGGTGAGCGAGTCAGGAACAGCCACGCTGAAAGCTCGGCCAAGAGTTCGGCCCCTACTGACCTTCCTTCCACTGGTGAGTACGATTCTGCTCTGGGGTCTGAGGGTCTGCTCTGGACGGGTCAGATCAGCTACCACGGAGGAGGAAGAACCACCTGCCCTGGGCTAATGGACATCAGCCTCACCCTCTGTCCATTCACTTCCCTCCTGATGCCAACCCAGGGTGGCTACTGGGAGGAGGCATGGCTGAGACTCACAGGCAAGGCTGGGATTAGGGGTGTCAGCTCCTCCAGTTGAAACCCAGGGAGAGGTTATGGGGAACTTGTGTGCAGAGGCAGTGCAGTGGTGGGTACCTCCAGCTAAGCAGGGTTCATATTCCACAATCATTGGTGGCTGTCTGCTCCGTGCCAGGCCCTGCATTAGATGCCGGGATGCGGAGATGACTGAGCCAGCATCGCTGCTCTCAAGGCAGGTCACGAGTGAATACACAGACTATGAGAACATGGGCCAGAGCAGGGGCAGCTGGTTCAGCAATAGGGGTGGTCAAGGAGAGCTTCCTGGAAGAGGTGACATCTGAGCTGTCTCAAAGGACAAAGAGCAGTGACCCTTGAGAAAAGAACATTTGGGACAGATTTTTGTGTGGGTCTGAAAGTGCAAAAAAACAAAAACTCCCTTCTGGAGCCTGCGGCAGGCTCTTGTTCTTTGGCAATGGAGACAGCTCTGTGACTGGTTCTATTTACTGTGACGGGAGTCCCTGCGTGTTCCAGGACACCCTAGACCAGCACTGTCCTATAGAACCATCATGGGAGCCTCACATGTAATTTTTAACTTTCTAGTAGCTACCTTAAAAGAAATAGGTGAAATTAATTTTTATAATATATTTTAACCTGATGTGTTTAAAAGATTATCATTTAAAAAAAAAAAAAAAAAGATTATCATTTCAACATTTAGTCAATGTGAAAAATACCAGAGACGTTTTAAGTTCTTTTTCCACACTAAGTCTTTAAAATCTGGTGTATTGCCCTCAGACCACACACGTCCCACTTCCGACTAGAGACGTTTTAAGTGCTCAGCAGCCACGTGTGGCCACAGCTACTGTGCTGGACAGCCCAGGTCTAGAGCCTCAACAGCCAGCCCTATAAATTCGAGGTTCACTCCTGCCTGTCAGATGGGTCCTGGTTGGGACAGTACTGTTCCTGGCGTCCATGAGGGTTTGCACCACCTAGACTGACAACACACCAAATCCGGGTCTGAATTCCCAGGGCCTGTTAGACCTCAGGCACCCACACCTTGGCCCTCGGCACCGGCAGCTTCTGCCCAGCACTGCCTGGCCCAACTACCTTTCTCTCTCCATCACCAAGAATTTTTCTGGTTTATCCAACCTCACCAACCAGACCCTGAGGTTCTAGACAGCCTAGACTGAGCCTTACATTCTCCTTGCTGTATCCCCAAGGCCTCTCTGTGGAGGGCTGAGCACACAGATCTGGAAATACAACGTTAAATAATTTATTTTCTGCTTATAAAAACAATGCTTAGATATTATAGACAAACACAGAAAGTATACCACCACCAACAAAAAGGTATAAAGCAAGTGAGTCAGCCCCTACCTTTGTTTCCAGAGGTGCATAAACTGTTACGGGGTCATTGCACCCAGAAATGCGGACTAAATCATTTTCTATTGCTGGAGGTAATTAGATTCTCTCCTCTCACGCACCCCCAGCACACATACTCAGGTCACAGAGGTGTGGGCCCAGGGCTGACACACCCGTACCTGTTCCGGTTGTTAAAATATTGGAATAAATGGCTGTTGCCCCTTGAGTGGCTCCTGCTGTCCTGGTTTCTCCCCCAGATCTGAACCAGCAACTAAAGCAAAGGTTAATGTGGCACAGCTGAGTTTATTCCAATTGGCTGGCATCCTGTATGCCCTCCACACTTTGTGACCAGGGCAAGTCCCGGCCTTTCTGCTCTCCTCAATTCTGGTTTGGACACTCTGGTTAGGTCTAGTTTGGGCCAACCAGGGCCTGACTCAGGGGCTGTGCAGACCCCAGTCAGGTGGCCCCTGGTGGGGGCTTGGCCGGCTGGTCATGCCTGGCATTCTGAGGCTGCCTTCTGGGAGGGGTCCTTCCAGGCAAGCCTCAGAGCCAGCGCCAGGGCATGGGACCGTCCCCCCAGCACACTCACACCCCCCACTGGTGAGTGCCGGAGGATGAACGCATGGAGAACTGCCAGCTCAAAGGGGTCCACACTAGCCTCATTTTACAGAGGCAGGAACTGAACCCCAAAGGGGAAGTTCGCCCCATGCCTCGGTGCCGGGTGAACGGGGAAAGGCAGGTGGAGAGGCTGCCACCATCCCAGGAGTGTGTCAGTCAACAGAGCCGCCCTCTCAGGAACGTGCTGTCATTAATCCCCACTTTACAGATGGAGAAAGTGAAGCACAGAGTGTGGCACTAACGTGTTTAAGGTCACACAGCGCTTAAGTGGCAGAGCTGGGGTTTGAACCCCTACGGCCAGGCTCCAGGGTCCAAGTTCTATTTGGGCCATCCTACTCTCCCTCCCCCACTATCTAGGAGCCTTATCTTCCTCCCAGCACCAGCCTGCAGAACTACCTGCATCTCCTGTCTGCCTCTGTCCCCTGTCCAGCACCTGGACCTGCCGGCATCACGGTCTCTTGCCCCTTTTGGGTCAGACCCTTTGAGTCCATGGTGAGGCTCTGGGCCACGTACGTGCGACGTTGCTTACAGTTTCAGCAGGGGTCTCTCAGGCCCCCAGAAGCGCTTCTATGAGGCACCTTTAGATGAGGAACGCTGACCTGATGGCCCATATCCCCGGGACATCCTGACTTAGGTAACAAGACACAGAGCAGCCCCAAAATCTTTCATCACCTGACTCCTCTCCCTTAGGCTCTGGGCCAGGTCCTTTGCCTTCTTCCAGCTGGGGCAGGAGGCCGGGAGAATGAGAGGCAAGAAGACAGAGTGCGGGTGTGGTTCCCACACATACACGCTCCCACACCCGTCCCCCGGCCCCTCCAAGTCAGGGTGGGTGGGGAGGGGCACTGTCCTAACCAGCCTGGCCTCGCCCCTCCCTGGCTTCCCTTCCCACCCGGGGAAGCCCAGCAAGGCCCGTGCTCTTCCTGAGCTGCCTGGACCTGGGTCCTCTCCCGCAGGCTGCTGCTGGCAGCCTCCCCCCGAGCCTGCAGAGGGACGGGCGGAGGAGGGGGCAAGATCGGGGTCAGGACAGCAGCAGGTGCTCTGCCCCTCCCTGCGGCTCCCTCGCCCTGGTGGAGGTGGGAGTCAGAAGGCTAAGAAATGCTCTCTCGGGGTCCAGCAGCATAGGCCAGAAGGACCTCGGGATCCCTCGTGACTGGCTTGGGACCCCCGCTGACCCTCGGGTAGCTGGCACCAGTCCCTGCTCTTCACCCACGCGAGGGTCTCCCCTGCTGTGACTTTCTGTGTTAAAGTAGCTCCCAAGCGAGGGCAGGAGGCGCGGGCGGCTCTCTGGAGGCCCCCAGAGAAGCCGGGCCCCTCGACACAAGGGTCATTCTCTGCTTCCACTTCTGGGAAGGGCAGTGTTCCAGTCACCAGGGTCACCCCACTTCCTGCTCGTAGAGCTCTGAGGAACTGGGTTACAGTCGCCAAGCTTCACAGCTGGGGAGGCCCTCGGTGCCCATCTGGATGAGAAAACTGGGGCCCCGGGAGCAGAGGGTCCTGCCCCTCACACGGCTCAATGAGGCAGCCATGGGACCCGAGCTCAGGTCTCCTCTCAGGCTAGTCCTGTCTACACCACGTGGGCCTGGGCTGAGGCAGGGGGAGGCTCCTTTCTCCCCACTCACTTCTCCTTCCAAGGAGAAGTCCGGCCCAGGGCTCAAGCCAGAGCCTGTCCACAGCTTTCAGAGCTGAGTCGGTAGAACAGCCGGTCGTGGGAGGGTTATGTTTCTCTCCGGGGTTCCCTCTTGCCCTCCCCAGGTCTGAATGAAACCATCCCCAGGGTGATACATCTGAGGAATTAAAAATTAAGTGCCAATGTGGCAAGTATGGGGAAACTGGCCAGACAGGTCCCCAGGGGTGCCCCGGGCAGTGAGAGCTCCCTGGTCACCCCACCCTCTGAGTCAGGCAGGCCTGGCGGTGCCGGGGGAGGTGTCAGGCTGGGCTCGGGGCAGGCCCCCACCTGCTCTGGACCCCTGCCTGGAAGCTCAGAGAGACAGTCCATGTCAGCTGGATTTCTCCTTTCCGCTCCACCCCTGCTGCCAGAGCTCGTCTCTGAACTTGGCCCAGGCTCCCTCTGGGGCTGGTGTCGGAGCGCCCTAAGTTAGCTGGGCAGGGCGATAGTCATTATTGACTTCTGACAGATTCATGTGGCTCACGTTGGCTGGAAGGGTTGGTGGGTGAGGGAGCTCTGTGTGCTCATGTGGGAAACACTCATAAACATGCTCATGAACTTGAACTCCGCGTGTTCATGTTAGAAACCTGCAGGCAGTGTACAGATGGAGCTCCCCTCTTCCCACCTGGCTCCTTCCCGGGCAGTGAGGGCCTCCGCCTGAACCTCCCGAGCTCCATCCGCACCCTCCTCACCCTCACCCACATCAGCCACCCCTGGGCTCAGGGGTGTGCGCCCCAAGCTTGGGCTGCCCTCGGAAGGCGTAACCAGGGAAGAACCTCCAGTGGGCTCAGGGCCATCTAAGCAGGGAACTCTGGGGCCTTGGTACCTGTCAGGGTCAAGAAAGGGAGAGAGGTAGGTTCCGAGGGCATGCCCCCTGGACCCCTGGACCCCTTGCCCTGTGGGGGACCAGAGCAGGGCCCTCTGCAGCGTACAGTCCAGGGCAGGGCCCAGGTACTCCGGGTCTAAGAGCAGTTCTGGGGTGGCAGGCAGGTCCATAGGAGAACGGTCTCATTGGTGGGATTCTTCTCTGGCCCCCAGGAGTAGGTATGAGCTGTGTCAGAGGATGAGGCTGGGGCAGGGGAGCAACTGGGCTCCTTTATAGAATGCCCACTGGTTGCCGATTTCAGAGAAGCTCCTCTGTTGGGTACACAGACCCCCTACCCTCCCACTCCCCAGCAAAGCGACGAAAACCTCTGGCTG